AATTACATGTACCATTATTTTCAGCATGCTGAGACGGCGATTAGCTAGTTCCAGTCTCCTGCCTGAAGGGAATACATTAACCTTTTCAAATTTCACTTCAGCTTTGATATGTTCATTTCCATTTCCTCATCCCTGTTAGCTATCCTGGTGTCATACCTGCTTTCTGATATTGCCTTATCCGTAACAACATTTCCTTTGCCTGAGATCCCTCTCTTTCCCTATCCCTCTGCTGGTTCTTCACCACTTTAATTTTAAGCTTTTCTTATCCATCAAGTGAATTTAACCATGGATGGGCAGCATCCAAGGGACTCAGCCAAAATTTATCAATTAAGAAATATGCCTCTCTAAGACTGTCCTCCCATGGCAAAAAAAAAAATCAAAATCTTTCCTTACAGTTCCAGTCCATGACCCACCTATTGACCTTCACTCTTGGCATGCCTTCTCCTCACTCTCTTTGTCAAAGTAACTTTCCTATAAAACCACCACCCTCTACAGCTCCGTTTCTTTGAACTTCTTTTGGAGATTATTATAAGCCTGCTTGCTCTGGCCATAGCTGATGCAGAATCTCCAGTCACATGGATGGATTCTGGTATGAAACTTGGGTACGAATCTCTTTTTACCTGCAGCTAATTCTGCTTTATTTCTCCTCTGTTCCCCAGCTTTCTCACCTCTTTCTCTTGTGACTCTGAATGCCCTTGTCTTTTCCCTAAAACTGCAACTTCTGGCAGAATCTCCCCCTTGTTTTTGCATGAAATAAGACTGTTTTTCAACTCTGACTAGTAGTGAAAGAAACAAAATCACAATCTCTTTCCCTTTGTAATCATCAACACTATGTTCTCCAGGCTCACTCTCCTCATCCAGACTTTGTTCTCCACATCCTCCTCTTTGGAAGCCGGCTGAAAATTTGAAATTATTTGTGCAGCCTTGTTTCTCCACCAATGACCAGTTATCCTCAACTTCCTGGCTTTCAGATGTTCTCCTCGCTTAGATCTACCAGCTGACATTTCCTATCAAATTATTTTATGTCTGCTGCCCATCCAAGAATAAATTCATTTTACAATTCTTCATCTTTTTCAAGGAACTTTTCACTATTTGTTTACTTCCACTACTAGTCCAACAGAAGCTTGATTCTTCACTCCTAACTTCAAAAGCAGAAAGGCGAAATTCACCTCCACAACCCGCTAAGAAAACATCTCTTTTCAGCCCACTGAGAGAGCTGGGTTGCTCTGCCATGGTTCCTAGACTTTCCAGCTTTTCACCACCATTAACCCTATCTCATACTTTGGTGCAGGCTGGTCATGTGCTGCTCTGTTCAAAGGCAACAATTTTCATACACACTCTCTTTTGGGAGACCTCTGTCCCAGAAAAAGCATAAAATGCCCAAACAAACATTAGAAGCTGCAAATAGAAGTCCAGCAAGCAGACAAACTTGCTTACCTAGATCTCCAGTGAACATGTTCCTTACCCAGCATAAATTACTTACTAACTTCCATACCTTGTGCTCCACTTGCCAGCTCCGTTGCTGCTAGGCTGCTCTGACTGTCGAGTGTTTGGCTCCCAAGCAGACAGCCAGGCATGACCAACAGCACAGGTTTCAGGCTAATGTCACTCATCAACGTCAGAATGCAAATCAGACAGCTCTTCTCACTTGATCATCCCTCATTGAGGGGGATGACTACAACTCCTTGGTTTTGCTCAGTAAAAAACAAGTACTGGTTTAACCAGTTAAAAACAAGGCCGGAAAAGGCACTGAGTACCTCTGGCTTCACCATGTCTTTGGTCAGGAGGTACTCAGAGCAGCGGGCCCAAACTTTTATAGCCTTCCTCTTGCTGCCAATGTACTTACAGAAGCCCTTCTGGTTGCCCTTCACATTCCTCACTCCAGCTGAGCTTTGGCTTTCCTATCTCCATTCTTGTACGCTCAGGCAACACTTCTGTATTCCTCCTGGCCATCCCCCTCCACTTCCACCTTTCTGATACTTCCATTCTGTGTTTGACCTCAATCAACAGTTCCATGTTCACCCCTGCTGGCCTCGCAACCATTTTTGTTTGCCTTCTTGCATGTTGGGATGGACTACACTTGTGCTTGGAGGAGGCTGTCCTGGAAGATCAGCCAGCCGTCTGGACCCCTTTGCCTGCCAGAACAGTTTCCCATGAGATCCTGCCAAGCAGATCCCTGAACAAGCCAAAACCTACCCTCCTGAAATTTAAGAAAAACCCAAGAACTTACATGCACATTTTGAAATACCACGGCTGTTTCTGCCATATTGCTCCTTCAGTAACCTGAAGATGCTTCCCTACTAAGGCTGAAGAAACCTGGGTTGAACTGCAGCACCCATTGTCAAACTAGTCTCAAAAATCATAGAATCACAGAATCATAGAATGGTTTGGGTAGGAAGGGACCTTAAAGATCACCTAGTTCCAACCCCTAGGGCAGGGACACCTTCCACTAGATCAGGTTGCTCAAAGCCCCATCCAACCTGGCCTTGAAGACTTCCAGGGATGGG